AGAAGATCATATTAAAAATAATATCTCTGACTTTTGAGATATTTTGGCCGTTGCTTAGCATGTAGTCCATGTGAAGATACTTAAAATATTTCTGATGCAGATCTTATCTTCACGTGAAGGGCTTTAAAATAATTCTGATGTAGATCATGCGCCTCCTGGGACTTTCTTCTTCTGTGTATTTTATTCTCTCTGTATGGCTAGTGATGAAGTGTTTCGGCCAATGAGATCTCTTGATCTGGGTCTCATTTTGATGGTGAGAATTCAGTCCTTGATTGAAACTTCTTCTCCAACTTTAGCTCTTACTATATATGACTTTGGAACTTCATTTCCATCTTCAGCTCTTACTATATATAGCCTTTGAAACTTCAGCTCTTACTTCATCTCATACTTCATATTTCGAAACTGATTTTGAAACCTCTGCTCCAACTTAGTCTCGAAACCTCTTTTGGAACTTCAGCTCCAACCGATGCTCTTACCTTGTCTCCAAGTTCTATTATTTAATTGATTTCGAAACCTCTGCTCCAACTTCACTTGAATTGATTTCAAAATCTCTTTTGAAACATCAGCTCCTACTTCATCTCCTTCTTAGTTTCGAATTACTTGAATTAATTTCGAAACTTCTTTTCAAACCTCAGCTCCTACTTCATCTCTTGGAATTGATTTAAGGCTTCTTTATAAAATTATAGGGAGTGAGTTTCAAACTTGAGACCTTGTGTAACACCCCGTGTTACGACCCCTAAAACCAATTAATTAATTAACCCATAGCCCAAGAAAAAGAATAAATTATAATAATTAATTAGGGAAAAAGGCCCACCATAGTCCATTGGCCCTTATCCCTAAACCCAATCCTTAGCTCCAAAAGGAATAGAATTAGCAAGCCTATAATATTAGTTCCTAATCAGGACTCCTAAATATATAAATAAGGGACTTAAGAGGCACCTAGAACCCTCCCACAAAGAATAACGCCCCACCACCACAAAAAGAGCTCCAAGAATCCCCTTAGAAGAAATCAAGAAAGCAAGAAAGCTTAAAGAAAGACCCTTCATAGCCAAGGAATTAATTAAGGCTAAGAGGTAACCCATGTCTCAACAAAACCTATTTTCATAGCTATGATTCCCCCCGTAGGATTTCCCCATATTATTGTGTATTGATGATTTGTGATGTTATTATTGATGATTGATGGGATAATTTCATGGGTGATCTTGATATCGGGAGATTCTCGATAATTATGGTGTTCTTAACGATTATGTGGAGTTCTTGATGATTATATGTTGCTCTTGATAATTGTATGGCGTTCTTGATGCTTATGTGTTATTTGTACCGAATCTTGTAATTAGAAGATGAATCGTATTCTTGTTGATGTAAAAGTGATTAGAACCCTAGGTTGTATCGTATGATATTATTCTTGGTGTATCAGGTGGGGAAATCGCATGTTTGGGTGTCAATTATGTTTAGAAAAGCATGATAGGTTATGTGCCGTACGTTTCTCGTATTTGATCCGTTGATTGTCTACGTGTTGATCGTTAATTGCGTTGTAAAGTGTCTAAGCATGGTTTCGGGTTCCACAACGGTTCCTGGGGCGTTTTGTGTATAAAGAGTCAGTGGGGGGTAGCTGGGGGGTAGGGGACCCGCCACCTACCCGCGGTCAAAAGAGGGCAGTCCCGGCAGCGGGTAGCCGGCGGGCGGGCAGCTGCCCGCCGGCGACCCGCTGCCCAGAACAGTGTTACCGGCGGGTGGCCCCCCACCCACCGGCTACCCGCTGGAAATTCCCATTCGGGACCCCGGCCTCCCCGTTTGATGTTTCCCCGATCCCCGTGATGTCCCAACGGACTCCGTCTATCGTGCCTATGTCTAGTTGGATATTTCGGGTACCGTTCGTAGGTTGTAGGAGTCTTATATATTGCATGCTAGTTGAATTGGTATCCCGTTGACCTAGGTGGAAGAAGCATGAACCCCTTAAGACTATTCTTAGTATGTGAAGGATCACGCATAGGTTTTGTTATACGTTTTCTCCCCCTTCCCAATGTGTTAATTTGGGTTGCATGTGCTTGCTATGTGTTATGTGTGCATGGTACCCCAATTCGGTTGCGATCGGATTGGTTATTCCTGAGCTGCAGTTCAGAAGCTGGCTGCGGTCAGATTTACACTCTTGGGCTGCCGTCCACCGTTTGGTTGCGATCAAACGTTTCCACATGAGCTGCGGTTCATACTTTCCTGGCTGCGGTCAGATGACATTCTCTTGGGCTGCGGTCCACTGTTTGGTTGCGATCAAACATTATGATGAGTTGCGGTTCATCGGTCGGTTGCGATCGACCCCTCCGTGTTGCGATACGGGGCAGGGTGCTGCGGGGCCGTGTCAGAGCTATATGCGCTGACCCTCATGTATGGGCATGCGATTGGTCCTGTGGCGCCAACAAAGTGTGCTATGTGTTGAGATATGGATGAGTTGTGATTAAGAGTATCATGGGGGTTGTGACTATGGGATTTATGTTGGGGATTGTTTACGTTGGGTTATGATTATTATTGGTGCTCAGCTTTGTCTGTCTTGCCTGTTGTGGATTGTATAAGCTTGTTATAACTGTTGCTTGTGTCTAGCCTTATCTGTCGAGTCATCCCCGGATTTAAAAGCTAGAGTTCGTAGGATATACCTTCATGCTCAAAATGGTTTTCGTATATCTATATATATCTCTATATGTAATGTATTTCAACGCGTTGGAGTGGGTTACCAGCATCTCTCGCTGAACAGATATATTTGGCTTTCAGGCACAGAAGAATAAGTCACTGGAGCGCGCTAGAACTTGGAAACATAGAAGTAGATAGCTCCCCTTTCGGCCTGCGTGCCATGCTTATGCATTTACATTATTGAGGATATTAGTTAGTTAGCCTGTGCACCTGAGTTCTCTAGCTCGGGTGTGGCATAGCACCCCGTACTCTCGTATTATGTTTTGGGACTTAATGAGGTTTCACCTTTATTTTATAAGTTTTAAATGCCTTGAAAATCTGGGGTGTTACACCTTGCGGTTTATACATCAAGCTTTCATCCATCTTGACTGTACGGATTATTAGTCATTATAGCATTCCTCTTGATGTACTTCTTTCTTTCCATAGATGCTTGATCTTCAAGATAACTTCATGAATTTTGGGGGCGTGTGGGCTTATTTTGTATACATATCATACGCATACATCTTCTTCTTCGTATTTTTCCCTTTCTTCATATTTGTTAATTTTCTTTTTTATGGTCTATGACACGCCTAGACTTAACAAATAAAATTGGGGATTCTAAAATACAATTTGGCATATCAAAATCTATTACAATATATTCCTAACACATACTCGTGATGGGTGATGTCGCGAGGGCTATTGTAGCCAGTGTTGTGTGTTCTTCTCTTGTGACGTGTGTAGTCACAAAAGCATGTGTGGCCTTGGCATGTGTTGCCGGTTGTGTGTGCCTTGTTCTTTCGCGTTGTACGTGTCGGGTTGCGGTCTATTGAGTGATAATAGATCGTGCCTTGACTCTTTTGTGAGTCGGGTTATGCTTGTGATCTTGGGATGTGTTCCCATGTTACTTGTGAGAGTGTTGAGTCTTGTGTTGACAACTTCTCTCGTTTTTGAACTTATATATATATGTATTCCGTTTCGAAAATGATTTTTGTATATATACCATACCTATGTATGATACTTAACGGTATTGGTGGGTTACCAGCATTATCGCTGACCGGGCGTCATCCCAATGTTTATCTTTGTGTTCTTTCAGGTGATGTCTAGACGAGCGCGATGTCTAGTGGCCGATAGCTTAGTAACTTTATCCTTGTTTTGTGGCCTGTGTGCCAATGTAGTTTTAGACTGATGTCTTTGGGATAGATGTATACACATTGCAGATTTGAACGCCGTAGCGTTTACCGTGGTTGGTAGACGCGGCATAACACCACGTTTGGATTCCTTTTATCCAGTTATCGTTTTATCTTCCGTTGTGCTAGTGTGTCGTTGTATGATCTGCATATGTTAAGGTCTTTTTATATAGGTCATGTTTGGGGGGTGTTACAATAAGGTTGGAACAGGGCATAAGGCAGGCACATCAACTCGTGATGGGTGATGTCACGAGGGCTATTGTAGCCATTGTGGTGAGTTCTTCTCTTGTGACGTGTGTAATCACAAAGGCATGTGTGGCCTTGGCATGTGTTGCCGGTTGTGTAAGTGTTATTCTTTTGCGTTGTACTTGTCGGGTTTTGATCTATTAAGTGATGATAGATCATGCCTTGACTCTTTTGTGAGTTGTGTTGTTCTTGTGGTCTTGGGATGCGTTCCTGTGTTGTTTGTTGAGGGTGTTGAGTCTTATATTGGCTTTGACTCTTGGTTTTACACTTATATATATGTATTCCGTTTCGAAAATGGTTTGACAGCTTTTATCTTACCTATGTATGTTATTTCACATGTATTGGTGGGTTACCAGCATTATTCGCTGACTGGGCATCATCCCATGTTTATTTGTGTTCTTTCAGGTGATGTCTAGACGAGAGCGGAGTGTAGTACCTGATAGTATAGTACCTTTCCTTTGCTTTACGGCCTGTGAGTCGATGTAGTGATAGACTCATGAGGTTTTGGGATAGTTGTGAACCATGCAGACTTTGCCGTAGCGTTTATAATTGTTGGTAAACGTGGCGTGACACCCCATGTTTTGGATTTTCATTTATCCAGTTTCCTTTTATCTTCCGATGTGCTAGTGTTTTGTTGTGATATCTACATGTGTTAAGGCTTTTTATATAGCTTGTTTGGGGGGGGGGGGGGGTGTTATAGTTGGTATTAGAGCCTAGGTTTAAACCTAGGAAGAGTTAAGTCTAGACTTTCTAAGTGGCTAAGTGTGGTTTGAGACCTCTAAGAGACCTTAAGAAGCTAAGTGTTAGGCTTAGGAGTCTAGGTTACGCGGTGAGCTGTGTGCTGCTTTCTGTTCTTTGCTTGTGTGCTATCTTTTGGTAACCTCGTTGTTGTAGCAGAAGTCTGCAATGCCTCCTCGCCAGCGTGCTGCAACGTTTGAAGACGTGAGTGAAGTGGTTAAGAAATCTCGGTTGGCCGAATCTAGTAACTCTTCTGGGGTGATTGAGCGGTGGATCCGGAGTGGCACGTCCGCAATAGTAAGTCCTAGTGCAGCTACCTTGCCGGCATTCCAGGATGTAAGAGGGCATGGGAGGATAGAGGTTCACCATCCGGCGGAAGGGTCACCCCAAGAGAGGATGCGTACCTTAAGTGAAGTTCGAACAAGTGACAGTGATGTAGTAGTTGGAACCTTTCACGTGCAGTCCATCCCTGCAACAGTCTTATTCGATTCAGGAGCGTCTAACTCGTTCGTGTCACCCGGACTCGTGAAGAAGTTGGGCTTATCTGGGGGCACTGGAGTGAAGTTTAACGTGAAGGTAGCATCGGGAGAAGTTGGGACGTGTGACCGTCTCTTCGAGGGCATCAAGATCAACATCAAGGGAGAAGAGTTCCCTAGCGATCTAATCCAGTACGACTTAGATGGGATAGACGTGGTCTTAGGTATGGACTGGTTGGGGCAGTTTAAAGCCCAAATCCTGTGTAAAGATCATAAGGTGGTACTACGAGGACCTAGTGGGAAAAGGGTATCATATCGGGGAAAGATGGAAGAACCCGGGATTAAGCTAGTGTCTATGATGAAGATGAAGAGGTACATGGAGAAAGGCAATGAGTTGTTCTTGTGTTTGGTTGAGAACTTGAAGGCAAAAGGAGAGGCAGCTCTGGCCATACCCGTCGTCCGTGAGTTCCTTGATGTTTTTCCCGAGGAAATACCGGGTATGCCTCCTACGAGAGAAGTGGAATTCTCGGTGGATCTTTTATTGGGCACTGCACCCATTTCTGAAGCCCCATACCGGTTGGCAACGACAGAGATGCAAGAGCTGAAGACCCAATTACAAGAACTTCTAGACAATGGTTAAATCCGGCCAAGTACATCGCCGTGGGGAGCTCCGGTGTTGTTTGTAAAGAAGAAGGACGGTAGTATGAGATTGTGCATCGATTATCGGGATTTGAACCAAGTCACCATCAAGAACAAGTACCCTCTTCCAAGAATCGACGACTTGTTTGATCAACTTCGTGGCGCAGGAGTGTTTTCCAAAGTTGACTTGAGGTCGGGGTATCATCAGATAAAGGTGGCTGACAAGGATATTCCTAAAACCGCATTTCGGACTCGGTACGGTCACTACGAGTTTACGGTTATGCCGTTCGATTTGACTAACGCCCCTGCAGTATTTATGAACCTGATGAATATGGTGTTCCAACCTCACCTCGACGACTTCGTGATCGTATTCATTGATGACACCTTGGTGTATTAAAAGGATAAGGAAGAACATGTTAGACATCTTCGGACGGTACTTCAAATCTTGAGAGAAAAACAGTTGTACGCCAAGTTTTCAAAGTGCGAGTTTTGGAAAGACAGTGTATCGTTTCTGGGTCATGTGATTGATAGTAGAGGCATTTCCGTGGATCCGGACAAGATATGGCAGCGAAGGATTGGACGGTACCTACGTCAGTGACGGAAGTAAGAAGTTTTCTTGGTTTAGCGGGTTATTATAGAAGGTTTGTTTTGGATTTTGCCAAGGTGGCTCAACCGTTGACTAAGTTATTAAGGAAAGAAGTGCCTTTTGTTTGGGACCAAGCTTGTGAGTTAGCACTTCGAGATTTGAAGGAGAGGCTCACGACTGCACCAGTTTTAATATTGCCACCAGGAACGGAAGGGTTTGAGGTATACTGTGATGCGTCCAAGAAGGGACTAGGTTGTGTGTTGATGCAAAACGGGAGAGTGATTGCTTACGCCTCACGCCAGCTTAAAGTTCACGAAGAGAATTACCCTACACACGATTTGGAATTGACCAACGTAGTGTTTGCCTTGAAGATTTGGAGACATTACCTGTATGGGGTGCGTTGCAAGATCTTCACGGATCACAAGAGTCTTAAATATATCTTCACTCCAAAGGATCTCAACATGCGACAAAGAAGGTGGTTGGAACTCATCAAGGACTACGAGTTGGATATTCAGTATCACGAAGGAAAAACTAATGTAGTGGCGGACGCCTTGAGCCGGAAATCGAAGCATACCGCTAATTCCATTTGGGTAGTAGCTGATGAACTTTGCAAAGAGTTCCAACGGATGGAATTGGAAGTGGTTGAACAGGGCGATGTTGAAGCAGAAGTCCGTTTTTACAACTTAAGGATTGTACCTACATTTCTGGGAGAAATAAAGGAAGATCAACAAAAGGATGCATACTTGATGAAGACTCGGGATGATTTAACTAAAGGGAAAGGGGGACCGTTTGAGTTGTCTACGGATGGAGTATTGAGGTATAAGGGATAGTTGTGCATACCCACGTCTTGTGAGCATTGGAAACGACAGATTTTGGAAGAGGGTCATAACACACCCTACTCGGTCCACCCCGGAGGCGACAAACTATACAAAGATGTAAAGGGCTTCTTTTGGTGGCCTAACATGAAGAAGGAAGTTGCTGAATTTGTTGGGAAATGCCTCAATTGCCAAAAGTTAAAGCGGAACGTTGTAAAGTCAAGGGGTTGGTACAACCATTGGAAGTTCCACAAGGAAAGTGGGACTCTATATCTATGGATTTTGTGGGAGGTTTGCTGAAAACCCGTTCGGGTAAGGACAAAATCTGGGTGATAGTTGATCGTTTGACTAAGACCGCTCGTCTTATCGTAATGAAAGAGACTTGGACAATGACGCAGTTAGCTCAAGCTTATGTTAATCAGGTAGTAAAGTATCACGGAGTTCTGAGGGATATCGTCTCCGATAGGGATCCAAGGTTTTTGTCTCAATTTTGTAAATCCTTGCAACCGGCTCTTGGAACCAAGCTTAGTCCTAGTACTGCTTTTCTCCCAGCCACCGATTGGCAAACAGAGAGAACTATACAGACTATCGAGGATAGGTTGAGGGCTTGTATTCTAGATTTTCGAGGTTCATGGGAGAAGCATTTGGATTTGATTAAGTTTTCTTACAACAACAGCTATCACTCTAGCATACGCATGGCACCTTATGAAGCTCTCTATGGGCAGAAGTGTCGCAGTCCGCTATGTTGGGAGGATCTTGCCAATCCGATAGTGTTGGGACCGAATGTAACACCCCGTGTTACGGCCCTTAATCCCGAATTAATTATTTAATTAATTCCATTAATAATAACTAAAAAGTATTTAATTTGATTATAAATCCCTTTAATTAATTAATGTGGTCCACCACGGATCATCTCATCTGTGCCTGAAAGCCAAATATATCTGTTTTGCGAGAAATGCCGGTAACCCACTCCAACGCGTTGAAATACATTATAGATAGATATATATATAGATATACAAAAATCATTTCGAAGCAGGAAGATATATACTTAAAAGATGCTAGTTTTAAAAACCGGGAATAGACTCAGCAAATAGGGACAAGCACATTAAACAATAATTAACAGTTAAGTAGAGATAACATCATAAGGAATACGCATCAGCACCGTGGTATGAGGGGAGTTGATCGCAACCAACCCTTTGAGAACCGCTGACGAACTCAACGTCGGACCACGATCCGACAAACCGCTGATGCACACAGTCGGTGGACCGCGGTCCCCTTTACAGGGGGGACTTACGACCCTACACACCGTTGATGCGTACAGTCGGTGGACCGTAGCGGATCAAGCCCGACACACCGCTGAGCTAAACTCGGTCGGTGGGCGAAGATCCTCGGAGACTACGGCCCTACACACCGCTGTCCCATCACTCGGTGGATCGCAGCCAGCCGTAGCCCTACACACCGCCTGTTTACTCAGGTCGGTGGACTACAGCCTTCCTCGGCTTGTTGGCCCTACACACCGCCTGGCGCATCCAGGTCGGTGGGTCATATCACCAAGGCCCATGTGGACCTGTGGTCTGAGAAGTGAATCCATTCGGCCTTCAGCCGACTTCCAAACCTTAGTCCGGGAATCACCCAATTGGTCTGTAGCCAAAATAGGGGATCATGCAACACATAACACATAGGAGCACGTAGTAGCATATTGGGAGTGGAAAGACATATAAATAAACTTACGTGTGATCATTCACGTACTAAGAATAGTCCTAAGGGTTCATACGACTTCCACCTAGGTCAACGGGTTACCAATTCAACTAGCATGCAATTCCTAAGACTCATTTAACCTATGAATGGTACCCGATATATCAAACTAGACTCGAGCACGACAACGGGGTATGTCGGGACACCATGGGGGAGCGGGGAACATCAAACGGGAAGCCAAAGACCCGGGGTGGGGTACGGACCAGCGGGTAGCCGGTGGGCCACCCGCCGGAGAATATTGTTCCGGGAAGCGGGTCGCCGGCGGGCCGGCGGCTGCCCGTTGCCGGTGCGGCGTTCTTTGGGCAATGGGTAGGTGGCGGGTTCCCCTACCCCCACCTACCCCCCACTAACTCTTTAATCATATATTCGTTCCGGGAACCTTCGTGGAACCCGAAATCATGCTTAGACACCTTTAAACGCAATTAATGACACCACGTAGCCAATTAACGGATCAAAAGCAAGAATCATGTAGAACTCATCCTATTACGACTTCTAAACATAAACAACACCCGAACATGAGAATTCCCACCCAAATATACATTAAGAACATCCCAACACAAATTCCCAATCCAACCTAGGGCTCTAATCCCACCCAAATCATCAAAATAATATTTTATCTTTAACATCAAGGAATATCAAGATTCGTCAAGAATCATCATATCAAAATCAAGAACTTCTTTTCAACATCAATATCATCAAGATTATCAAGAATACACATAAATCATCTTATCAATCATCAAGAATATATCACAAATAGCATAGGAGAATTAATCAAGACACAAGCATATAGGAGGAGGCCAAGGAAGGAGATTATAGCGAAGAAAATAGGTTTTGTTGAGACATGGGTTACTTCTTAGAATTAGTAAATCCTCCCTTGGCTATTAAGGTTCTTCTCTAAGATTTCCCATCCGATTGATCTCCCTAGGCTTGGTGGTGGGGAATATCCCGGGAATATTTTTGTGTAATATAACTATGGGTGGTAAGGGTTCTAATTGCTTTCTAATCCCCTATTTATAGAATCAGGAATCCTAATCATAATCTGAATAATAAAGGCCTACTTTCTTTATTCCTAATAGATAAACAGGTCCGGGATTCCTAATTAGAATCTGAATAGTAAAAGGTTTACTCTCTTTATTCCTAATAGGCTTAAGACTATAGTTTAGGCAAGGGTCCACAATCCATGGTGGACCACATTAATTAATTAAAGGGAATCCTAACCAATTTAAATCTTTTTTAATTATTATTAACATAATTAATTAAATAATTAATCCGGGATTTGAGGCCGTAACACGGGGTGTTACACTCTCCCCCCCCCCCCCCCCCTTACGAGAAGCTTCGTCCCCGAAGCTTAGAAATTATTACGAGGATAATGAGTGAAAACTAGTACGGTGGTTACGTAGAGGAAGTATTCTACGAGGAAATTATATAATTATATATCTATGTATGATGGGTTTTTGGGAATGATTGGGTTAGAAGGATAAAAAGAGTGGACGGTTCTGGTTTCAAACTTGAGGATATGTTGAGTTTAGGAATTAGGATCAAAGTTTTCAAAGTTGCAACTTAGGAGGTGAGGTTGCTACCTTGTATGGAATCGTTAAAATGGGGAATGAAGAATGAGGCTTGAAGGGTAGAAAGGGTTCTGCAATAAGATGGGGTTCGATTGTCAAAGGGAAGGGATGGAATTCGGCTAGGATGGTTTAAGGATTCTCGACATTGAGTGATTATTCCTGTTTGAAGCCCGATTATGACGTCAAGACGAACTGATGGCCCTTTTTCTTTAGTTTTGGCTCTACTTGGCTCTAAGACTTCCGTTGATATTTTCTTCCCATGCTAAGGTCTCATCCA